GCGGTTTGCCAGCCAGATTGGAGGTGCAAAAGCGGCTACAGTAGCACCCGATCGCGACCGACTCGTTCAGTCGTTGCCTCGTCGGGCGATCGTCCCTGATATGACCCGACCCGACCCGACCTGATCGGCGATCCCAACCGCAATGGGCACCCGGTACGATATGATTCGATTTTCACGCGAATTCAACCATTTTGATGATCTTTCTTTTCCTTTTAAAAAGATGTAGGCCTGCAGTAAAGGCGGGAGCTTGGATTTTCTGATCAGGGGAAGAAAAGAAAATTGAAAAAAAATGAAGGTCTCGATCTCGACTAATGATCTAAACCTACCCTTCCAGTTTCACACAGCATGCATCGCGTTCCCACCCACCCTAGACGATCAGAGATCGTATAAGATTCTTAATTAAGAACGTATAGCCCCCACCCCTTCCGTAGGCTAAGCCTCGCGCATCCACTTGGCTTTGGGGCCCATAATACATGTTACATGTATTAAGTTAAGAGGCACACTAGATCTAGCAATACAAATTGTATGATGTGTTTAGCTAGGAATCTAGGATGGGCCTTGTGCTTCGCGCGACATTAAAGACCACTGATGGAAAAGTGAAGAGCCTACACCGTCGTGAAAGATAGATCTAACTTTAGTGGGAAAGCAGAAGAGGACTGAGGACATATACAGCACTAGCACCCGGCACACCGAGTGTTGGTTTGGTTTCAATTTCAACTCAAGACCTAAGATTCCAACCATCTGGAGGAATGGGGTGGTCCTGAAAAGGACCAGTCAGCCGCGAAACTGGAACAAAACCAATTTACTTCTTAGCTGCGGACTTCTTGGGCTTGGCGGCAGCTTTCTTTGCTGCTGGCTTCTTGGCTACTTTAGGCTTGGCAGCCTTCTTGGCAGGGCTCTTGGTAGCTTTTTTAGGCTTGGCAGCAGCTTTTTTAGCGGCCGGTTTCTTGGCAGTGGCAGCAGCCTTCTTTGGAGACTTTGGCTTCTTGGGTTTTGCGACTTTCTTGGGAGATTTGGGTTTCTTGGCAACTTTCTTAGGAGATTTGGGTTTCTTGGCAACTTTCTTGACGGGTTTTTTCTCAACTTTCTTGTCTCCCAGACGGAAAGAACCAGCAGCACCAGTGCCCTTTGCTTGTTTTAGAGTGCCATCTTTGACACCAGCTCTCAGAGCAGTCTTGACACGAGCGTTGACGGCAGTTGGGTTATCCCCGACTTTGTAGTTGGCAATAATGTACTTGAGGATAGCCTGGCGAGATGAACCACCGCGCTCTTTCAGTGCAGAGATGGCGGCAGCGACCATCACCTTGTACTGAGGGTGAGCAGCGGGAGCTTTTGGCTTGGATGGAGCCTTCTTCTTGGGTGCAGCCTTGGCTGGGGTGGTAGCAACAGCAACGTCAGACATGACTTTATAATAATGAAAGGTAGCCTAGTGTGCAAAATTAATATAACACAAGAACAGTGTGGAGCGTCTGTCGACTGTCGATGGAATAATTCGAATGACAACTTTCGGAGCGAGGTAGCGTTATATTCCCCCCGCGCGGACGTCCGAGAGAGCATCTACGTCACAGCGTTTTTTCGAGCCGGGACAATGTTTTGTATTTCGTTGCGCATTGCAATTCTGTGCTAGGGCGGGCGAATTTATGCCCTACAATTTTTCTATGATTCATTAAACATTTTTACAATAGAACGCTTGGTTAAATAAATGATTACAGAAGCTCACTGCATTGTTTTCCGAGCGTGTTCTTTCGTGTGTTGCTTGAAAATCAAGTTTCTCAGTCGACGATGTGTACACTCGTCCTTACATTGACGTCGTTCAAAATAACTTTAAAAACTTTTCCATGGTACTTTCTGCTTTCTATTCTGTAAGCATTAGTCAGATACCTATTTTTACCAAATATTTAAATAAATGTACGTATTTTAAGCTTCTAGTGAACGTTTTCTTACTTGTTTGGCTTCGGTGTGCCAACACAATACCGACAATTTGAGTTGAGTTGTTTATGAAGAATTAAGACTATTATTTCACATTCCCGAATAAGAAGATACAATCGAATGATAATTATTGACAAGTGGGGGTGTTGTCTATGGTTAATTGTTCTAACCTTTAAATAAAGAACACATGGGTTGACAAAACCCCTTTTTAGGGGACTACTGTTTCCGATTAGCAAGCCAACTCAAGGAAAAGATGGCCGCGGAAGGAGGGAATTTAATCGCTTTTGCATTCGGTCTGTCTATTCAGTGTTCTTTTATATTATTATTCTTTATCGGCTAAAAATTTAGATTTTGTATTTAGCCTACAGTATCTGTTTCTAAAAGATTGTTAAGGAATGGGGATTAGAAGACGACAGGTTTTTATTCCCAAGAGGTTGAGCTGATATACATTGTACTTGTTTTTGGTGGAATCTTTGTGAAAAAAATAATTTTAAGACAAAAAGTTGTATATATAGGGCCTATCTAATTTTGACAGAGAACATAAATCAAATTTAATTTAAGTATGTTTTATCTCACAAAGGAACGTTTATAGGGGCGCAATTTATTCGATTCTTTTAGTGTACAGTCTTGCAAGACTCTTAGATCTCTATACAATATCTATAAACATTTTGAGAAAAAAAGATCATGCAAAGGCCCATAATTATATTATATTGTTGTAAAGTACGGAAAAAACACTAAATATAACTTCCTTGGTGTGTAGAGACCAACCTCAAAAGCAACAATAGGACAAGACGTTTTTCCACCGAAATAATCCACATATTTTCGTCAGAACACAAATATTATTATAATGCTGACTGGCATAGAATAAAATACTTGATGTACATTGTACTGTATACGTATGTACCTATTCTTCTCTGACCGTCTAGGTATGTACAATTTTCAGCCTATGCTATAGATCTAATTAGCCTAGGCCTAAGGTCCTTCCTTCAATTTTAACACTGCGAGCTGAGGGTTGAAGCCCGAAAACATCCCAACCGAGGAGTCAATCGAATAAATTGCGCCCTATGAACGTTCCTTTGTGAGGTGAAACAGACTTAAATTTAAACTATGTTCTCTGTTGAAATTAGATCTATGGACAACCTTCTGTCCTTTATCTTATTTAAAAAAAAATTTGTTACACAAAGATTATTCCACAAATAAACAAAGCAGCTCAACCTCCAATCTCATGGGTCAGTCGTCGGGTGACATACTATGATTCCCTCTTGGGTGTAGACAGCTGTCGTCTTCTAATCCCCGTTTTATTACAATATATCTTTTAGAAAAATATACTGTAAATAACAAATTTGAATTTTTTTGCCGATAAAGAAGAAAAATGTAAGAACACTGAATAGACCGAAGGCCAAAATTAATAAGCTCAGGAACAATTTCCCTCCTTCCGCGGCCATCTTTTCCTTGAGTTGGCTTGCTAATCGAAAACAGTCCCCGAAAAAGAGGGTTTTGTCAACCCAAGTGTTCTTTTTTTTTTTTATAGTTTACAACAATTAACCATAGACAATACTCCCACTTGTCAATAATTATCATTTGATTGCATCTTTTTATTAGGGAATGTGAAATAATAGTCTTAATTCTTCATAGACAACTCTGACTCAATTGTCGGTATTGTGTTGGCACACCGAAGCTAAACAAGCACACCGAAGCTAAACAAGTAAGAATACGTTTACTAGAAGCTTAAAATACGTACATTTATTTAAATATTTGGTAAAAATAGGTATCTGACTAATGATTACAGAATAGAAAGCAGAAAGTACCATAGAAAAGTTTTTAAAGTAATTTTGAACGATGTCAATGTAGATCTAAGGACGAGTGTACACATCGTCGACTGAGAAACTTGATTTTCAAGCAACACACGAAAGAACACGCTCGGAAAACAATGCAGTGAGCTTCTGTAATCATTTATTTAACCAAGCGTTTTATTGTAAAAATGTTTAATGAATCATAAAAAAATTGTAGGGCATAAATTCGCCCGCCCTTGCACAGAATTGCAATGCGCAACGAAATACAAAACATTGTACCGACTCGAAAAAACGCTGTGACGTAGATGCTCTCTCGGACGTCCGCGCGGGGGGAATATAACGCTACCTCGCTCCGAAATTTGTCATTCGAATCATTCCATCGACAGTCGACAGACGCTCCACATTAATTTTTCACACTAGGCTACCTTTTTCATTATTATTATAAAGTCATGTCTGACGCTGCTGTTGCTACCCCAGCCAAGGCTGCTCCCAAGAAGAAGGCTCCATCCAAGCCAAAAGCTCCCGCTGCTCACCCTCAGTACAAGGTGATGGTCGCTGCCGCCATCTCTGCACTGAAAGAGCGCGGTGGTTCATCTCGCCAGGCTATCCTCAAGTACATTATTGCCAACTACAAAGTCGGGGATAACCCAACTGCCGTCAACGCTCGTGTCAAGACTGCTCTGAGAGCTGGTGTCAAAGATGGCACTCTAAAACAAGCAAAGGGCACTGGTGCTGCCGGTTCTTTCCGTCTGGGAGACAAGAAAATTGAGAAGAAACCCGTCAAGAAAGTTGCCAAGAAACCCAAATCTCCCAAGAAAGCCGCGAAACCCAAGAAAGCCGCTGCCAAGAAACCAAAGTCTCCAAAGAAGGCTGCTGCCAAGAAACCAGCCACTAAAAAAGCTGCTGCCAAGCCTAAAAAAGCTACCAAGAGCCCTGCCAAAAAGGCTGCCAAGCCTAAAGTAGCCAAGAAGCCAGCAGCAAAGAAAGCTGCCGCCAAGAAGTAAATTGGTTTTGTTCCAGTTTCACGGCTGACTGGTCCTTTTCAGGACCACCCCATTCCTCCAGATGGTTGGAAACTTTAGTCTTGAGATGAAACCAAACCAAAATTCGGTGTGCCGGGTGCTTTGTCCTCTTTTTCTGCTTTCCTATTAGAATTAGTAGGCCTATATACATGTATCATCTTTCACGATGGAGTGGGCTCTACACTTTTCTAGCAATGCACTTTCCAGTTAGGCTACCCGATCCCCAAATTAGTCACTGCGTTGAAACCGCTCCCCCAGGGACGAACATGATTACCTCAGTGGGCTACGACTACGTGTAAAACTAAAACATCACGATTCATCAAGGGATGAGTTAAATGTAGTGGCTGGATGGTGTCACTTGCCTCATGAGCACACTGTCTTGAACTTGAAAGTCTGCCTTCCCGGTCTTCATAGTCATAGGGACTGGTTTGATGAAAGCAAGGTCAAGATTTACTTGTACATGATGTCATGTAGCCTACATGTACTATGTACGTACAACTGCAACAATGTAGATCTACTTGGGGGTGAGAGTTGAAAGGTTCCCCAACCCTCCATCCATCTCCTTTTCTCGCTGTCTCTTTTCTCTGCGTTTCTGTGTAAAATCAAACTCACCCAAACTTTATGTAGGCTAACGCCAAACTGCAAATATGTGTGTTGGTCCCTGCAGACGTACACAGTGGGTGCCACAAACAGTTAAATTTTAACAGTCTCGCAATCGCAAGGATTTTATCATTTCCGTACAGGATTTCGGCTTACAACCTCGAGTCCGTTCTGATATTAAAAATTCGTTTTATTATTATGAGAAAGCATTCAGTTCAGAATAGGCATTCTCGGCTCCTGCGTTATTAAAGTAGTCCAAACACTGACAAACTCGTAACTCAAATGATCAAGAAAAAAAATGGAGCAAACCATGAATCACAAGAGGCCTAACTTTTTATATGATCGTGCGTCATCATCATACCGTAACTATACTTCTGTTACTCATGTATGCAGGTGAGGGAGAGGAAAAGCTGGAAGCACTGTGTTGGTGTTGTGAAGTGTTAATTAATGTGTTAATCCACCATTAGGCGTCTATTCTCGTCTTACAATTACAGTGACTCGAGTGCCCAAGGTCTGGTACTACAGCGTCACATTCAATTGTGTTCTGGTGGAGTACTGTATCGAAACTTGTGTAACGGGAACAGGACTGAATGAAAATTAATAATAATACATGTACATGTAGTAAATGGGCTTGCTTGATCAACTTCTCTGCATTCGCCACGCATGTTCCTTTTCCAATTTACTATGGCAGTTAATAATAATAATAATAATAGATAGCATTTGTATAGCGCATTATATCCCCGCTCAGCAGCAGGCTCTATGCGCTTTACACTATATTATTACCCCAGCAGACCATAGAACACTCCGAATCATTCTCAGCTTCCCGGGAAGCATACAGTGCAAGCAGCCGATTAAGCGCTCAAACAATAACAAACTGACAAGATCTTTCGCTGTCTATAGCCGGGTACCCATTCCCACCTGGGTGGAGTGAGGAAAATTCGTGTAAAGTGCCTTTCCCAAGGACACAACGTCGGGCCCTTGACGGGATTCGAACCCACGACCTTACGGTTGCGAGTCCGAGAGCCTAACCACTAGGCCACCGACGCCACTACACAGTTCTATAGCCTACATTGTATATGTAATAATTAAAATTTGTGTATTGATTACGAATAGCTGTAACATGGAGCCTGCAGTAAGCTAAATAAATGTTACGCAAATACAATGTTGGCCTATTATCTTCTATAGGCTACCTGTGCATCTCAAATGATGTCTGGTCAAACTCAATGGGACTAATATAGTTACTACATGTTTGTTACTGTTACGTAGAAAAAGAAAAATAGGAAGGATGAAGTGGAAAGGAGAGGAGCGGAAAAACAGATAAATTGGTAGGCCTACTTATGTACATGGTGTGGGTAATGTAATTTGTAATAGTACAAACGAACCCTTTCATTAAAATAATTAACAGTGTCATGTATTAAACGTGATCCACTTACAAGCAGAAATTTGGGCTATAACTTTAACTTTAACAAGAAGGACATCACGTCGGTCCTGCTGGTCTGGTCCTGTTCTTCTAGTCGGGTACCACTGAAATTTTCCCCCTATGCTCGTCAGTCAGAGGATACATGAAGTCATACACATGTATACTCCGGGTATTTTATCCTGTTAACTTACAAGGGAGGGAGGAACCGAAAGCAGGATGCACTTTAATGCGAACACAAACATTATAGGCCTATTATTGTGGGTCACAGATAGGCTACAATGCGATTTGTCGAAATTTGGTTTCCTTTTTTTCCCTGTTTTGTGTTCGTTTTAAGGATTTTGTTGATGGTTGGACCACTGTTGTTAGTTTGAATTATATTCTCTCTCTGAGCAAGTCGGTCTGAATGCTACCTAACTTTTCCAACCACAAATAAATCATTTAAAATTTTACGAGATCAGACTTGTGATTTATTATAATACATTATGAAGAAAGCCTGCTTTAGCGAAAACCAAGTCCATAACCATAGCTTATAGTGGGATCCACTGTAATAAATGTGTAGGTCTACACTTACTACTACATTCCTTACAATAATGTACTTGGGTAGAATACGTTGAATACATACAAAAAATAAAGACAACCATTCTAATACAACATAAAGGTAATAATACATCATTATAGCTGCACAGGTAACTTAACACCAACATCTTGTAGTTTATCAGTGTCCGAGTCTGAGAATGTGTAGATTTCTTAATTAAGATTAAGGGGAAAACGAGAAAATGATTTTAAAGTAAAAAATGACCTGTCGCTTGTCTAAGTCTATTGTGACAACAGACTTTAGACTGGCCAATGAAACCAGTTCTGGCAGAAAATAGTTTGGCACATTCTTATGAGCTTCATTTCCACTTCTCTCGTGGCTTCAGCATTTCTAATTCGTGAAGCCTCACATGACTTTCTGCTCTCCAACAAGGTTTGTCAGGAGCTTGGCTGCTATCACATGTCATTAAAATCAAGTGAAGGGCTGATGAAAACCTTCACATTCAGATACTATTTACTTTTTCAGAGTGAAGCACTTTTTTTATGCACAAGCGAAACGTTTCCATGAGGAAAACTCAGAACAAAACATGATACTTGATACAGGTACATGATACCGCGACCTCAGTGCTTTCTTGTCGTATATATCCTTTTTTTTAAACAGTCAGAAAATGTAACTTCTTCTAAGCTCACTCTTTGTTAAGAACTGTTTTCACTGTTATTAAAAATGGAGATACGACGAGAAAGCACCAAGGTCTCCATACATGTGCATCAATTACACCTACACGTGGTGTAGACCTACAGTCACAGTGGATCCACTTATAACAGTACATGTAGTAACAGTCATGGCTATATAACAGGATTTCAGCTTTAGCAGGCTTATAAGTATTTATAACAAAAATCAATCAGTCCGAACTCTTGACACGTTATACTAGTACAAAAGTTCTGTTATATTTTTGCACTATACCTTCAGGCATTCTGACAGACATGCTTGGCCGGCTACATGTATAACAGTGGCCCAAACCACTAATGTTTCACATTTGCATCCTATGTTTGATGGTTTTGACCTCTCAGCAGTCTTTGTTATTGTTAGTCTTCTGGTCACTGTTCTATACAGCAAATCAGATTGACAAACTCCATTATAAACATATGGACAAGTAATGGTGTAAATGTGTACACATTTTATTTAACTTTTAATATTATGATGCGTCAGAGGAGGGAAGGTGAAAAGTTGAATGCTTTTTGGCACAGTGTATTGAAGGCATGATAGATAGAAATTATGGTAGATGATGGCCTTAGAGAGGATGACACACGTCACACATGAATCATTGGTTAAAGTTAAAGAGAATTAATTTTTACGCTGCTAAACAAAATTTGAATGAAGAAAAACAATTTTGTATCATTGATGTTTTATTTTCATTTCGCACGAAAAGTCTGCACAGAATTCAGAATAGCATCTCTCCTTTTCACTTTCACTGCATTTCACATTCACCTCTTTATCGTTGAAACAAATGATTGAAAAGGTCAAAATTATATGAATGAGTCATGACTGTACTACCCTACTGAGAGTAGAGACACAGAAACAGGGAATATTTAATCCTACACATTCATGCTATGTTTGCATGAATGCATGAAAAAGACAATGGAGCAAAAGACAATTCTGACACGACCCATGTCTCAGCATGTGTATTAGTATTAAGCTCCATTTGATATTGACAAGACCGTATGATGAATGTTGTTATGTACACTATGTAGGCCTACCAGTATGTCACTAGTTGGAACATATAATATATAATTAAATCAAAGTTCTCTTAAACTCAAGACATGTCATATCAAACAAAAGTTTAGGAAAGAACTAAAGAACATACAACAACAGGTAACTTAAGGAGAAGGTGCTCTCATAGATCACAGAACTATCAGTAATTGTAAGAAAAAAGTACTCTTGAGGGTGCGGTGGAGGAGCGGTTAGCGCTGCGCTCGTCTCCAAAGTGAAAGGTCCGGTTTCGAGCCTCGGTTCGGACACAGATTTTTTTGGCCCCCTCTTGCCCTCCCAGCAGTAATGGGTACGCTACCTGACTTCGAGTTGGGGAAGTAAAGGTGGCGTGGAAAGGAACTGGCCACTCTATTCTACCACAATATGCCGAAGGCCCATGAAGTTTTTTACGCCCCCATCATAGATCATTCAGGAAGGAGGCTTCCAACCCTGTCTATCAGGACCAACCCGAACTGAGAAGGATACAACATCCTAGCAGAAAGGCTGAGGAGATACTCCGTTAAAATTTTCTTCCCACTAAAGTGAACTACCTAACCGCTCCACCACAGACATTGGTACACCGGATGTAATACTGTAATACAAGTACAAGGTGCATGTGGCTGATCTGTTACAAGTGAGGGATGAAAGAACAAATGAGTGCCTTCTTTTACAAAAGCCCCCCCATTGGAACACAGAAATTAGAGAAGAAGAATATCAGTATTATGAGGTTGAAAACTGCATGCTGAAAATAAAATTCAATCTTTTACACTGGACACATCTGTCATGTGGACAAACATTCTTTCAACTTCCTGTCAAGTCAAAACCATTAGAAATTATATACATACACCTTAACAAAAATAAAAGTTACATTCATTGTAACTTTTCATTTCTTTATTCCTGCAATTGGTTGTATTATTATTATTATTATTTGCATGGCAAAACGAAGCTTCCATAGCCAGACAGAAATTTGGCAATTTCCTTGAGTGAGAGAAAACAGGTCATGAACCCCACACTAAGAAATTCACCAAACAAGAGTACATGCATGTTCCGTATTGTCATATATTGCACATGGCAGAGAAACACTACAATAAAAAAAGAGGGAAAAATATTGTAGCTCACGCCCTTCAAACTTCTCAACAAAACAGCCATGTGATACAGTAAAAGGTCTATACAGAATTACAAGTGACAGAAGAAACATCTTATGATAGCTGCCTAAAAATCTCAAGAACAAAGAGAAATGACAGACAGGAATAGACTGTATCAGTGATTGAAGATTGCCCACGCGGTAACAATCGAGCACAGACAGCACAAACAACTAAAACTTGAAATCACAGACAGCTCATACCAAATGCCATTCCCCAACCGAACCACTATATAATATTCTCTATACATTTGACAACACGGTGTTCTCAAACACCCGTACGGATTTGCCGAACTGTTATGTACCTTGAAAAAACCTGGTGAAATTATTCCTCACAACTGTCATACATTCAAATCGCACACACCCATCACCATTGAAAGTGCAACGAACCCACAGGGCTCAAACCTGCACAGAGGTTCACACACTGCTGTTATCAAGACATATCATGGCACATGCTAGGTGATATCAAAACAAAGACCGTGTGGCATTGTATTTGGCCACATGGTGTGAAAATTATGTATGTGTTTATTTACACGTGTGTGTATATGTGGTTGTCTGACGGTATGGATTGGAAAACGAATAAACATGGTAGCATGGGTGGAGTGCTCTGACCAGTGTCGATTACATCAGCATCACTGTCTTCTTTTCTCTTGTTTTGACACCGAACAAGATGCACATACTATTCATCTTTCTATTCTTCCATCATTGTATACCAGGTTTTTTCCATGATGGCAAGGAAGTCACAGTTACTTCTTTTGATTTTTTTCCGCATATATATGTAACAGATCTTATATTTGGTTATCACGGTGGTACACTCAAATTACGGATGTGTCAAACACATTTGTCAACCTGATGTGTTCAAGATATCTGTGCTCAACTGTATTATACTAACAAAAAAGTAGGAAAGATCTAAGATCAAAATATGCACATAATGCTATTTGTTAAAGAACCACTGTCAAGTCCATACAGGGTGACAAACACAATGAAAATTCCATATCAGCTATCCATTAGTAATTCATCCTTGACAGATGGGTCAATACCCCATTTTTTAGTAAGCTGTATTCTGGTAACTTTCCCCACAGATTTATATATATAAATGCCAATAAGCCTCATTCAGGTTAGTGCAGCTTTTGAATGTCTTTTTTATGCATACAGACTTCAGACTGAATTTTAAAAAACCTTTCAAAACATTCTCTAATATGCAAAAGTCCCTTGGTCTCTTGCTTGAAGGCGATAGCCACGAAGGTAGTAAAAGTATAATCAAAATTCAATAGAAAGTTCAACTGAATAGCATGAAAAGATTTCTGGTGTCTTCCTTGACACTGAAAACAGAACATTATTATACTATGCTTAGTACAGCTACAAGAGAATATCTCACAAGTTTTGAAAAATTGACTTACTCACCATTCATTTTAAAGTACCCGGTAGCATATATAGCAACAAAACCCAGTTCATACTACCTTCACACTTCATTTATTTCTTCAAATGAGGAGCAATTAGAAATAAATATGACAACCAGCAAATGTTCCATAGTCCTGTCAGCATATGTCTCAGTTCAAAATCAAAAAGTATCAGTGGGGATTTAGAATGGTCTGGAAAGTATCGAATCAACATCTCTGGACTGTTTTAATGCGGTGAAGCTGGCCCTGATTACTCTCAATATCCTCCAAAACACATGCACATCATAGACTGATCTTGCTGTATTTGACCCCTCAAAGGGTTCTGAAACAAAAATTGTGAACATTGCATTATGCTCAGAAACCATGAACATACTTTCCACAAGAGAAAGACAGACAAACCTGTCAAAAAAACAAAACAAGAAAACAAACAAACAAACCACGAAATAAACTTTCAGTTAATACAAACATGCTACCATTATAAAAAAGAAACGGTACATTTTTCTCCCCAAAAAACAGAAACTTGGGAAAAAAAATTACTTGAGATTTTGTGAAAAAGTACAGCTTGGAACAAAAACTTTTAAAAAATCAACTTGTTGCAGCTGAATCAAGGAGGAAATCTGAATCTTAAGTGGCATTTTCCTTGGATTTTTTTTAAAGTAGAGGTTTTACAGCGCTCGCAATTGCATACGGCCATATGAGCGCCAGAGGATTAGAGGTGTTACAAGAGAGTAACAAACATAAAAAAGGAGGGGAGATAAGGACGATGGATGTTCGATAAGAAAGAAGAAGCACACCACACCAGAGCATTTTCCTTGGATGAAGGCTACAACATTATATTAAAAAATTCAATTGTTCTGTTAATAAGAATAATGTTATATTTTCACTTAAAGTTATAATGTCACTACTTCTTCTTTAATTAATGTAAAAGCTAGAGCACTCCAAAGCATAGCACTTCTCCAGACACACTGTATTACTATTACTTACCTTCAATGCGCAAATTTTTCCATTGCATGATGTCAATCCCACACTGGTAAGCTTCTCGTGGATTCAGTTTCTTGCCCATCCGTATACTTATCACATCGTCATAGCTGTAAGTGATACACAACCAAGAAAGCATGTGATCTATTTACTCTTTTTTTTTCATATTTTACAATGTGACAAAATAATTTCCCCAAACATGCATTCACAGAGTGTAATTTAAAAACAAAAGAGATTTTATTACAATAAAATAATATTCACCTTTTGGGACCCCTCCAGTCATTGATACAAATTTGTTAATTTTTCTGCATTTCTGAATATTTGTAAGACTTGGAGCAGGAGTTTGGGACCACTGTGGCATTCCATCAGAGACAAAGTTGAAAGTGTGAAATACTGTTGTTCTCCCAATTCTTGAAAATTGTCAGTATGCACGAAAATAGCCCCCATAACCATTACATTTTCATAATCTTAAAAATATGTAATATGCTGAAAACTCTTTTGCGTGATGCCACTACAGATATGACTGCCGGATCAAATGACATATAGAAACACAAAATTTGAATTTTGGTCCCATGTACACCCATATATGTGTCACGACGTGGTGGAATCAGGAGCTCGTCAATTTTGGGATACATGGAGTTATTAGTACCATTATAAAGCTTGCTCATCTGCCTTGCTTGTGACAAAAAATTAACCATCTATCTGGAATGGAAATTGAGATATTTGCCATTGAAGAAAGTGGGGGTCACCCAGTTTTGGAGGTAAAATTACCTAGAAAATGGCCGCCAAAGTCTGGTAGCTTCTATAGTCCTTGAAAAATGAAAATGTACAAATTTGTGCCTTCAACCAACGTCTTTCAGTAAAATCCACATAGAAATGTGTTTTTAAATGGACAAGAAAAAAAAAAAAAACTGCACAAAAGGCAAAAAAAAATATGACAGTTTCTTTACACATTACACCCTAACTCGCATGAGAATTTCCTTATGCGATCCACCCTAACTCGCCCGCACCGACCTAGCATCTTTAGAAACGAAGTCTCGCCTTGTCTGGGGCCGAGAATTTGATTTGCACAGTTATTGCAAAAAGTTTCTTCTTTCGTCTGAAACCGAAAAGCGATCGAAGTGCAATCGCGTTACCGACACTTCGAAGGTGTCTCAACTTGTTGAAAAGCGACACAATTGAGTTTAAAAAAGGAAAAAACGATTGATTTGAGCAAAAACGAGCATGTGACAAATCAGATGACTCCGATTTTGATGAAAACGTTGTAGCAAGAGTTTGAGGGGATTCAGATTGATCAAACGTGTAGAAAATCTAGAATTTAGATCTCGGGCCCGACCGCGAGGCTGAGGGTGAGACGAGAGCGACGGGTCGGACACCCCGACTGAAGTAAAGTTAGAACACTTCCAACAGTTTGCGATTACATAAAGTAATATTTTTCAGAAACTACATCCATTTCTCTTTTCACTTTTATTTTTTCAGGATTTCAGGAATTTGTTTCGTATTTTTAAAATGTGTTTTTTAAACGCAAGTAGTTACGTGAGGTGAGTTCCTTCCCCTTCTTAAGATCTAGGAATGGACTTCCCGTCCAGGCCCTTAGGGTGCAATGTGTTAATTTCATTATTTTGGTGAGCGCCTGATTTCATCATGATGCCTCACAAATATATATATACTGTTGTTTATACACCTCTATACTGAATGACTGTGACTTTCCTAAACAACCCATATCTATCAGATAGAGTAAAAAACACAACATTTTGTTACTCACTTGAAGACATTTGCATAGTAGTTGAGAAAGCCTAGAAAGAGTTCTCCCAGAGTCGCTGCATTTTGTGAAGAAAAGTCCACCACATCCTCCATACTCAGAGAAAGCTTGCGCACATCTCTAGATGAGCTAAACATGTCCTGTGGAAGTAAGTGCAATATTTTCATTTGATTTTTTCAATTAACTCAATTGTGTTGGTTCCCACGTACTTACTGGATGTGCTATGCGCCTGGTGGCCAGACCCCAGGTGTATGTGGAATTAGCATTATAATCAATTAGATAGCTCCAGTATAATTTTCCCAAACAAACAATGGAAAGCCGAGAGTCAGCAGTTGACAAACTCGTATCATTTCATTAAGTTTGGTCAAATTTTATTTTATTTTATTTTTTTAAATAGCTATTATGGGCTAAAGGAAGTCACCATCAAATTACCATAAAGCTTGTCAACTGGAGCAAATATCACAACTGTTGTAAGAGTGGAGACTGTTTAATCTAATGGTTCTAGTTCTAGGAATAGTAGCCATAAATCTTTTAGTTGCAGATCTAACAGTACATCAACATGCAGAAAAAGTGGCGAGAAAAGGACAGGAGCATCCCAAACCATCTACAAAATACTTCGATTGGGACCCTGTTTCATGCTTCCACACCAAACACAAATACGCCAGAGATAATAAATTGTTTGTATATTGTTTGCGTGTTACTCGAAAATATCGTTTCATACACACAGAAGTTAAATGGACTCTTGTTGGTGTTGTTTATTTCAGGCATAACAGAAGTTTTCTGTAATACAATTCAAGGAATGAAAAACTGGATATTTTGTTATTGTGTGTGACGTATTTGTTGTCTGGTCTATTTGTTGTGACCCATGTGAAATTTCCATAAAAGGGCCGACGAGGCCAGGCAGGGGGGTATAGTAGGATCAGCAGAGTTCAAGGGTTAATGTTAAGATATAAAGTTGTATAAGATGGCCATCCATTGTCGAGGAGATAAGAGATTGTCTTTGCCAGGGTCATTGTAATATTCTTTAAAAACACAAGGGGAAAATGGGAACTGGAGTTTTGAACACGTGATTGTCTTGGACAGGTATGCGTCAGACTAAGTTAGACTTCATTTTAGAAGCAAAAAACACACACAATAGCCTCATTCTATCAATACTGTAACTATGAAAGAAAAACATTACAAATGAACTAATGATAGTCAACTACAACTCGTAAAGACTTACAGGCTGCAGATTTTGAAGACAGGGTAACACTGCAGGTCTCACACCAGCTGTGAAAATACAAAGCAAAAACTTGCATAAGATTGAAAAGTGACAGTGACAGCATTCAGTACAAAAATACAGTAGATTCTGGTTAATTGCAAGCTGGATAAAAGCAGAGCCCCATAAAACATTGGCAGCTTAGAATCAGATTTTTTTAACACAATAATTGTCACTCATAAGGGCGAGTTTCATTGACAATTTCATCAAACTAATAGCACAATAGTTCCTGCGCTGCTGCCAGAAAGAGAGATCAGCAATAAAATTACGAACTTTACTTGGAACAGATGGAAACAAAGCAAACACTACATGCCCTCCTTCATTAGTTGAGATTGTGACTTCACTTGGGAGAAAAAAATGTATATGGATACAGTGCGAGACAGAATTGCACAACGAGAAAAGCCAGAGACCAGCCATGTGTGGTGTGCAGACAGTGTGAGAGAGCTGTGCCATTATAACTATGGTGGAGGTCGTCTGTTATTGTTCAGCGTAGAAAAGATTTCTACCAGGTGACAAGCTCAGCACAAGGATGCAACCCTCTGCAGGAGATCAGATGTGACACGGTTTATATATCATAGACCTGCATGTGAGCCTCAACCAGATTGTCTGAAAATTTTGCGCACCCCCCCCCCCCAAGAGCTTTGGTGGGTGTCATAAGGAAGGACTTCTGAGTAACGAGCGACCACCCCAACAAACACAATAAAATAAAGAAGAGACCTAACCCTGCCCCTAGGCCTACCTCAAAAAAGAAACTGCAACGGGCCTCATGTAAAAAGGCCAGCACAAGTCCAAAATGAAAAAATATTTAATCTAAAAAAAAACAAAACCACTCTCCAAAACAAACAAGGTCAGGAGCATAATATGGCCTACATCTACATTGCTCTATTAGGGTTTGAGACAATAACACAATAGAATTGGAATATAATGAATCCTCCATATATAGATCTAGATTCTAAAAAAATAAATAATTCACGCACCCGATTAAATGCTTTTTACCAACATTAATATTACAGCACAACCTATGATAGGGTTTGACACAATAGAATTGGAATATGAATCCTCCATTGAGGTCTATAATGATCTATAAATATCTAGATCTAGATCTAGTAGAACAAGTGAGTCGGACTTGAATGAATCCACATGATCTGAACAATTGAATTAGTCAACAAATGAAACTCAAAGTGGCCGGTCGAGCACGAAACTGAAAGTAGATAATTTAGGTCGTTGTCCTTTTCCATATTCGCATTTCTACTCGGGTCCGACAATTATGTCAGAAACGCCGACGTCGGCACGAAAACGAAAGTGTCGACAAAGCCGACGGGAGAAAAAGGGGGGCGCTGGCAGTCGGCCAGGCCTCGCACTACGCACATTGACTATAATACAGGTGGGCCTTGCCATAGCATCGGCCGGCTCGCGGGTCGGATTTCAGACGATTGTCGGCAAACAGCAGGTCTAATATCACTCAATGAAATTTGAAAGAGTACTTACTCCCCTTGGTAATTCACTTCATAGCATGGTTGCATAGCCAGAGACTTTATAATAAATTCATCCAACAAAAAGAGAATTTTATGAGACTTACCCTTTGAAAACTGTAACTAAGTGACAACTGGGCATGTTTTATTCTCCTTAATATGGAAAATGACACTTGTATAGGAAAATTTGTTGAATAAAGACATGACACTACCAAAAACTTTTTTAACTTACAGAAGCTGATTACGTTTAAAGTTTATGAAAATAAGTAATGAAGCAAAACACATCTCAGTGAATCAAAACTCATTGTCACAAAGTACAGCTGTTAATCCAATACAGACCTTGTAGATAGTGAATGAGCATAAGAGACAGGGAGTAGCTGGAGATAGTTTTCTTGCTGGCATCATTGATGTCATGGTACCTTGCCCAGCGCTTGATGAACAGCATGAGAGGTCGAACCCTCCAATCCACTGGCAAAACATAAAGAAATATTTTTTTAATGGTCATTGTTATCACACTGAGTTCACATGTCATAAATAATAAAATGAATCATTTCAACGAGGGGAAAAAAAAATTATACACAAATTTAATCAACAATTGGAAACATTAGTCTTTGAATGTTAACAAAAAAATCACAAGCTTCTTCCTTGACAGAACAGAGTTCACAGACTCAAAGAATACAAATACAATACATGATTCATAAATATGTGACCTGAATTTTTTAAATTTAATTGCCTTTACATTCACAAATCAACTGAGAAGTGTAACACTTCATCATCTTTCAAAATAGTGTGCGACAAAGTTTTTCACAAAGCAGTTGAAATTAATTAATTGCTTGCACAGAGAAACTTACTGTATGCATAGTGTCGCAGTAGATGTGTGTTTCTGATGCCGATGGTGTTGTTGATGTTCAAATCACATTCTACTCCTCTGAAACAAAATATTCCCCATGACATTGTACAAATTCATTCATAAACATTTTATTTACACGTATGTACCAAACATAGGGTACTGCTATTGAAATATTTGCTATTACAATATTTATCTGTCCATCAAAATTACAGGATACTACAGAAAAAAATAATTACCAAACTGAAAAGTAGAATATGTCCATTTGTTATCCATAGGGAGCTTTGATATCGTTTCCTGATGACATTGTGTCTTTGCCACTGGGAGCTTAAACAACCTTGCGTACATCATGAGCAATATCCTAATCTTTTGAACACTTTTGCAGTTGAGATCCAACTAAACTTGACTGATTTCAAAAACACACTAGACACAGAGAAGAATCCTACCATTTTATGAATAAAAAAATAAACTTACGAATTACGATCTTCAAATTTCAAGATGGGAACTTTCGCTCTTATCACAAGTGGAGAGCGGACAAACGCTGAAAAAATAAAGGGTGAAGAAATTTTAACAAATAAAATGGGCAGCGTTTTCATACAAATTAGAGTGTTAAAATAAACAATGTAGAGGATC